ACTGAGAACACTTCGAGGGCTTAGCAGTTCCTGTCTGGGGCTGTGGAGACTGCCAGATTGGGACACAGCTCACAGATGTCATTCCATGGGTCTGCTTCTCACAGAACTTGAAATGCTAGGAAGAATTTTTTACAATAATTACATTTTATAATAAGCACTAATTAATGTCAGCGGTGCTTAGCTTAATTGTCAGCTGACACAATGTAGAACCAGCCGGAAAGGGCCTGGAAGAGGGGATCAGGTTGGCGGGCATCTAAATTGTCTTGATTGTGTTCACTGATGCAGGAAAACACAGCCCAGGGTGGGCAGCGCTGTTCTCTGGTTTTTGTTGGGGTATTTATTACAGTAACAGACATGAAGCTAGGACAGTAGCGAAGACACTTTTGCTGCCGGACTTGCATTCTTAGCCATGAAAAAAATATTGCTTTTTTAACCTTAAAGAACAAAATCAAAAACAAACTCAAGCTAGTCAAAGCAGAACAGAGTCCCTGCCTGCATCACCTCAGCACATCCAGGGAGGAGGCGGCGCCACAGCGGTTTCAGAAGTTCTTGGGACCTTGATCATCCAACCACCGATCCCCCTAATTCCCAGTAGAGCTCACTTGCCACTCAGAAAGCAGCCACAGACAGAAACATGCGATCCTGTCCAGGGTGCCAAAGAACACAAGCTTGCATTTCAGTTCTGCTGCCGACTTGCAGGGTTTCCCGAAGCGAGCAGCACCACATCCCGTGTTTAGATGAGCCATTGTGCCACGTGCAGATTCTAAGTACCATCTGCTGGTACTGAGGCCAGAGGATTGTTCAGGAAGCTAAAGGATGGTGTCGGGTGGGAGTAGAGGCAGAATGTGCAGCTTGGTTACATTTTTACAGCTCTTGGTGACTGGAGAGTCAAAAGGGGCAGGTTTCAGGATGAGGAACAGAATGTTCTGGCTTCTAGAAAGACATAGCCCAAGTTGATGGTAACTGATATCATTACTCTCCCTCAGACCTCAGTTTGTGGACACTGGGAGAGTCTGCACCATTATCTAGGACAGTGGCTTTTCAGCCTGTGGGTCGTGACCCTTTGGCGGGGTTGCATATCAGATATCCTATATATCAGATATTTACATTATGGTTCATAATAGTAGCAAGATTAAGATTACCGTATGAAGTAGCAATGGAATAATTTCATGGTTGGGGGGCTCACTACAACATGAAGAACTATATTAAAGGGTCGCAGCGTTTGGAAGGCTGAGAACCGCTGATAATGTCCGACTGCTTGTCTGTCTGTTTTGTCCAGGCTGTGGATTTAACGTGACTAACAGCAACCCTACCATCTGCATCAACGACCTCATCGCAGAACACAACAAGCAACACAGCGCAGGCCTGCAGCCCTTGAGAGCTGATTACCTCATAGCCAGGGCCGCAACCGTGCTGGAGAGACTGATTGGCGCCTTTCAGGACCAGGGGCCCAATGGTGTCCTTCCTCTCTATTACAAGTACTGGCTGCACAGGTCAGTACCCACTGCCTTCTTTCTTTTGAAATTCCCTGACGCTAGTCCTTCAGTTTCTCAGTGTGAGGGCCGAGAGGAAGTTCAGGTGGTTATTTTAACTCCCAGTGACTCAGCCTACCCAGAAGTGAGGGACCAGCATCCTGGGGGTGCACTGAGAACATCTAGAAGGAGCTTAGTGTGAGCTGTGAGGAGCTAATCCCACACACTAAGTGGTAGAACCTTCTAGATCTCAAAGTGAGATGCAACAGCGGCAGCCTCTCCTGCACCCAGGATCACCTAAGTCTATGCTGTACGGCTGAGGTCCGCCCCACATACTAACAAACGCTCCTGGCAGCCTCCTGCAGCTGAGGTGTGGGAGCCACGAGTGTATAAGACCCTTCCGAAAGCCAGTGTCCTCAGACTTAGGAGAAGGCGGGGCAGCATGGTGGGGCTAGTTCTCCCCTTCCACCTTTACGTGGGTTACGTGGGTGGACTGAACCCAGGCCACCAGGCTTATGGGGCAAGTGCCTCACCCACTGAGCCCGCCTTGCCTGCCCCTAAGTAGTGTTTTTCTTTCCCTTTCCTTTATTTTTATTAACATATTGCTTTGGAAAGTAGTGAATTTTTGCTATGACATCTCTTACATGTTTACAGTATAATTTGGTCATATTCCCTGGTCCCCCTTGCTCTCCCTTGTCCCTTCTTTTCCCCCTTATTTTCCCAGACAGCCCCCTCCACTGCCTTTAGTTTGCACAGTGTGTTGAGTTCCTGGGTAGGAGGGGCACAAGCCATCAGCAGTAGGATCAGAATTAGCAACGTGTTACACAGAAGACCCAGCCTACCACTGTGGCTGGTGAGTATTGAGACATTTCACAGGGACAGAGGAGGTCAGAGGTCACTATGAGAAGCCACAGCCGGTCTCCAGGGTCCTAGTTCCTTGTCGTGAATAGTCACGCGGCTCTGTGTCCCAGCCTTCCGTCCCCTCCTGTGACCCCCTTGTTGATGTGCTCCATTTCCAGTGGTCAGCAAGTCCGCCTGGGCAGCACCGAGGGGCCACAGGTGTCGATCGTGGGGCTTGATGATTCCGGGTTCCTGCAGGTCCACCAGAAGGGTGGTGAGGTGGTGACGGTGCATCCAGATGGCAACTCCTTTGACATGCTGAGAAACCTCATCCTGCCCAAGCGACAGTAGCACCTGTCCCCAGACAGCTTGGACCTGCCCTGCGCAGCAGCAGCAGCAGCAGCGAACTGACAGGGAAGCCACTCCCAGGAGCTCCTGGGAGCTCCCAGCAAGCACTCTGCTGACATGGCTGTCGTCTTTGCCTGCCCAGAGCCTGGGAAACTGATGTAGAGTTGTAGGCCAGTGTCTTCTCCGAGTCATTTGTTAGCTCTTCCGCTTGTTGGTTCCCTGTCCCCACTCCCACCCCGTCCCACCCCACCTCCGAGTTTGGATTTTGGTTTTGTCTTTTTATATCTGTGATTGTGTTGGGTGTTTGAAGATGCATCTGGTAAGGGCTGGCAGGTGAAGATCCAGTTTAGCTTAGTTGAGTTTGCCTCTCATGGTGTCAAATGCTCTTTTCCACAAGGGCTTGGACATATGTTTACTAGGAGAAAATGAGGGGCAGGGATTGGAAATGCAATGAGATAGTGCAGGTATTTCCCAGGTAGTGAAGGCATTTCTATTCAGACAGCCAGTGCCCTGCGCTTGGGCAAATGCTGCATTGGAGGTCCTCCTGTGAGCCTCCAGAGGGTTTGCCCAGAACACACCGTGGTGCTTAGGTCTTGAGTTGTTTTCTGCTTTGTTTCTGGGGTTGCTGTTGCTTTTCTTAATCAGGGTAGGCTCTCTGAGGTCGCTGCGCTCTGATAGTGCAGTAACCCGGGGCTGAAGAGCAGCCGCCAGCCCACTCGGTTGCAGTGGCCTTGGAGAGGAAGTCAGTTCCTTGCTTTGCCATTATGCAATGAGCACTCCTTCCCGGGGTCAGAGGTTTGAAGGTTTATACTTTTAAGCCAAGATGACACCTTCCTTGGAGGTTGATGCTTAACCTGGATTGGAGATATCAGCTCCCTCTCCTGCCCACACAAGGGATGATTCTTGGAGATTTTAAGCCTACTGTGGGCTCTGTTAGCATGTGGAGCATTCCCACAGGGCCGCCCTCATGCCGGATGGAGTGTTTGGCACTGTATGGTAAGTCTAGATTTACTGCCCCCTATTTCCTTGTACTGTCATCGAAGAAAGAGATACTGACACGGAAGTTTGCAGGGGTGTGTGTGTGTGTGTGTGTGTGTGTGTGTGCGCACGCGTACGTATGTGTGTGCATGCGTGCAAGCACGCATGTGGGCCCAAGCACTCACGTATGACTTTAAAAGAAGATGTTCAAACTCTGATGTGCTAAAAGTCTCCGTGGAAGAACAAAGGAGAGGAAGCCTTTCTAGGTTTGCTTCCAGATGTGTGCGTGCTTCCTATGTCCCTCCCATCTCCGTGGAGTTCGTGAATCATACCCACTTCTGCCCAGCCTTAAAGAACCAACTCCTGTCTGCTCTCCCCGCTTCCTGCGCAGTTAATGGAAAGGAAACGGAACAGAATGCACAGCTTTGAACAAGATCCCCTCATCACAAATGAGTACCATCTTTATCCAGGTCTTACGGAGTCAGGCCACGCTCCAGAAACCTGAGGTGTTCAGTAGAGAAACCATCTCCCTCAGGCTAGCACAGACAACCCCACTGGCAGCAAGAAATAACACGGTAAACCCCACCAACCTGCTCTGTGTTTGAGGGCGTGCAGCTTTAAAAGAATTCAAAAGGTCACTTTTCTTGCATATGCATTTATATTTAGGTCTTTTTTTTAAAAATACATGTGAGTTTAAATAAAATTCTACACCACCCCAAAATTACAAAATGGACTGAGCCTGGAGAGGGAGTCTGTGAAATGTCATCGAGGACGAAATCTTCAGGCTGATGTTGTAAGCTTTGGTTCTCAGACTTTGTAATATAAGGCCCATTGTCTCTCAGGACTGCCATCATTAAATTTTAAATTTCTTTGGGGGATTATTTAATGAAAAACATACTATGTTTTATTTTAAGCTGAAGGCCTATTCTGGGTAGTTCTACTTTGGGAAAAAAATGTTATCATTTAATTTCCTTTCTGTAAGTTAAAACTAATGAAGTGTGGTCCTGTCAGAGCAGAGTGCTCGGCCTCTCTGAGGAGTTACACTGTTTAGGGGTATTCTCAATTATGCAAACATGACACCCACTTGTCCTGAGAGAGGCAAAATAGCCTTGAAGCCAGTGCTTCTCGTTGGCCTGGCTTTGCCTCACATGAACCAAAGACTTCCAAGTCCACGTCATAGAGAACATTCTACTGATAGAGGTGGGGAGGATGGGTATTTATTTACAGACTCAGCAGTCTGAGATCTCAAGGAACTTTACAGGGTCTTAAGGGAAACTTTGCTATGTCCTAACCTTGAGATGTGGCCACCTAACTCAGAAACTGTGTGTGGTTTAGAGCAGGTGACTCCTGACGGGAAGCTGCTTACATATCTACCCTGTGTTGGAAGGCACAGGACACTCAGCAAAAGCTGGGTCTCACCTGACCGAGCTAAAGCAATGAGGGAGCCCTGACGGGCAGACGCCTGTCCTGTGGGTCTCACTGTGCGCCATGGCAGGACTCAACGTGGCAGCGATGTCCTGTCTGCAGCTTGGTCAGATCCACACCCAGTGAGGGACCACAGACTCTGGGGGTTCCCCTACACCTAGCACATCATGTGGTAATGCCCTGGCCTGTCTCACCCGGCACTTCCAGAACGCAAGAGGGGATTTTTAGGGGCTTTGCTTTCCTGATCTGCCAGAAATGGGACCTCCTCATTCCTGGTTTATCACTATGCATCTTTGAAATAAACAAAAATGTAAACTTTTGCTGTTTTTTATTTTTTAGCTTTTCGAAGAACCATCTCTGAAGAGAATTACTGTAAACCAATGCCTATAAAGCCAGCCCTACCAAAATAAACTTTTCACATTTTTACCACGGCTCCGGCTCGTTCTTGTTTTACCACCAGTGTCATTATTAAAAATAGCCAGTAGCTTTTGATCACACCATCTTTATTTACTATTTAAACATGTTTACACGACAAGGATCACCTGTAAGAGTTCAGGAATTCTTACACGTGCTTCGTGAGTTTTTAGATGTTTTTGGCAGAAAAGAAATCTCACTAGGAAAGTACCAGGTCTCTACCCGGCGAGGGGCGTTTCCAGCCACCGCTCCTTAGCTGTTCACTCGGCTTTCACTAAAGGTGTTTTTGTCCTGAGACAGTAACATCATATGTCACGCCTATGCTTGGGGTCAGCTTTAGTCATGTGCTGTAGATACCCACAGGCTGCCAGTCTCCAAAATCTCAAGCTGAAAAATGCCTTTTGGTCCCACTGGATCTGTAGCAACTTCCACTCTCTACCCCCAGCTACCTCGCAGTTCTACAGATTAAAACTTGGATAGCTTTTGTGTATGGAAACTGCTAGCAGCCGCGCACGCGCGCGCACACACACACACACACACACACACACACACACCTTTATGGTGGAAGGGAGGAAGGCCTGTCCCAGACTCAGAGGATGAAAGGGGAAGGGGTGGGGAGGCGGGCCCTTCTATCCCCTTCCTGTTTCTGCAGAGGTATGAAAGGAATGGCTTTTCTAGAAAGGGGCTTCCAGGAACATAAAGGAATTCCTTTCCCTGGGAGGCCCCGTGCAGGGCCAAAGCCTTGAATTGGGTTCAGGCTTCAAATCCATTCGATGTAGTGGTTTTTGGTCAATGTGGTCCATCTTAGATAGGGCCCACTATGATTTTCTCTTTTTCTGTGTGTGTGTGTGTGTGTGTGTGTGTGTGTGTGAGAGAGAGAGAGAGAGAGAGAGAGAGAGAGAGAGAGAGAGAGAGAG